ATACGTATAAGGAGATAGAGATTCTTCGAAAGGAAGTAGAGTTCCAAAAGAGATTAACTGAGCACTGGGAAGGGCGATGGAAACAGGAGTATTCAGAGAAAAATGAGCTATTGCACAAGAACATGGAGCTGAAAAAGAAATACGAAGGGATTTTGGAAGAGGTACGAAGTAAGTTTGAGTTAGTACCTTCATCTAGTCAAATGGCCTCTCAGGACATTCCTAGTAATAAAGATGAAAGAGGTGAAGGAAGTGTTCGCGACCACAAAGGAAAACGTAAAGAGATGGATGGAAATGGAGTTGCTATGAGGGATAAGGGGAGGAAGAAGAAAAAGAACGGACACTTCAAGAAGAAATGTGTGGCTCCTAAGTGTGAAACGTGTAACAAAAGTCATACAGGAATATGTTATGTGAAAATTGGTGCATGCTTTAGATGCGGCCAACTGGGACACCAAGTGAGGAACTGCCCAGAACAAATGAATTTTGGGATGGTGAAGCTGTTGTAATAGTTAAAATCGGCAAGTAGTGATGTGTTAGCTGAAATAGTTGTATTTATGGACCTATGTGTATGCAACCTCTATGTAGTGGGTATGTTCCGATAAAAGTAGTGGACCTGGTACTTGATATTATGATGAGTAATATTAAATCTTGGTGACTTGACAGTATCTTTTGTTAACTCTTGGTCTCGATGTTAAGTGACATTTGCGTCTGTGGTTCGGAAAGGCGAAACTTTCGATATCTTCACTGATTTTCTTAGCCTGGCATTTTAGTCATAGCATTATTACAATTTCTCTCTAGATAGATTGTGGTATGAATTTCGAGGACGAAATTCTTTTAAGGGGGAGAGAGTGTGAGGACCCGTGAAATTCTTTATATTTTTCTTAAAAATTCCCTTTTTATTTGGAAATTATTATTTTATAATAGCCCTACTACCCAATCATTCCACAATAAGTGCAAATGAACATGAAAGTAAGGGTTTTCACTTTTCGTTTTCAAGTTGGAGCAAGTTAGGGTTTTCACGTGTATCCGTAGTGTAATTATCCGGTACGGAGCGAGGATCAAATTTGGTGCTTAAGAGTGACTTTTAGGTGAGAAATAATATGTGATTAGAAGCAATGATATAAAGTTAGTGAATAGGAAGTAAAAACCCTAGTACGTGTGATTTAAGGAAAAACGGTGCGAACCGACGTGTACCGTGCACTACCGATTGAACACACCACTTGATCACCACTTTCTTACCATATAAGCTCATTAATACTTGAGCCAAATATCCTCTTATTTCCAGCTGGCTTTGACCGAAAATTGTGGCCCAAAATGCAAGGAAAAGAAAGAGAAAATTTGGATGGTTTTGGTAGTGCCAAGTGTTGGCAATTTGTGGCTTTGACTAAACTTAATTTTCTTGCCTTCTTATCTTGTAAATTAGCTCATTCTTTCTCATTTTTCTGCTACCTTGGCCAAGAGAGAGAGAGAAAAAAATCCAAGGGAGAGCTGCCCAAATCCAACTTGAAATTGGATCATCCAAGTGAGGAAACAAAAAACTAAACCGATTAAAACCATTCTTGAGTGTTTAGCTAGTGAGGTGTTGGTGAAATTTTGGAAGGAAGAGCTAGGGTTGCTTTTGGTAGTCACTTTAGCAAGGTAATGATGCTGATTTCCCCATTTCTTACTCTTGATCTTGTTTAATTTGGCTTAGCACCTTAAATTTGTGGTGGATGATAGCTATTATCAAGATTTGGGTGGATAGTGTATGTTTTTTTTTAGTTATATGAGTTGGGGTTTGAAAGATTGCTGCCTATACTTGCTGTATGGTCAATATATGTTGTATCTAAGATTATATAAGGGGCTTTGGTAGTGATTGAGGCAAGAAATGAAGAAAGTTTCCATTGAAATCCCAAAATTCCAGATTTCTGGAAAATTATAACCCTGTTCTGTCCGGTTCAAGTTCGTGGTGTTAGAAGCTGAATTAGGCTTGACATAAAACATGAAAGTTGTATAGAATAATATTTTATAGTTTCCTACAAAATTACAACTCAATCGGAGCAACGTAGCCTGTGAAAAGACCAAAATACCCTCGCTGCCCTAGGATGTTTCCAGTGATCCGTTTTAGACAGTTCATCTAGTTGACCGCGTCTATTCACTATGATATGTGCTGATTTACCCATTTTCCAAAACATGAAAGTTTTAGTACTCTGTCTTAGCTTTTAAACGCCTCAAAGAACGCCTTAAACGGACTTTGGTAGCCTGAGATATGACCATTTAAATGTAGTACAGTTAATTAGCTGATTAGTTGGAACCTGGTTCTGTGAACTGGGAATTTGATTAGGTTACACTGGAAATTTGACCAAGTGATCTTCATGAAAGTTGTAGGCCTTCATCTAAGCTTCGAAATGGTATAAATTTCACACAAATCCGTTAAGCGTAACCTCGGATGTGTCCATTCCGCAAAACCCTATCAAATCTATCTTTTACTACAGCTCATTTCCGCACTTGTAATTAACTTGAATTTTTGTCCTTATATTTTCTTGAGCCTATTGGATGGCTATTGAAGTTAGATTGTTGTGTGTGTACCTATGGGTTTGAATGATAAAAATAATGAAGCCAAAATGGCTGGAAAATTAGGTAAACACAAAGGGCATGCTGCCCAAATTTACGCTCGAGGACTAGAGAAATACCCTTGCGACTTAGGTATAGTTGATAAGTGAATATCACTTGAACTATCTAGGACTTTTGCTACTTTGGTTATCGAGGGTTATACGTTAGAATCTAGCCGAATTTGTACCCTTGAGAAATACAACTATGACTACTAAAAATACGTTTTCTTTGTACTTTCGACTCAAATGGCATTTCCAAGTATAAATGTTACAAAGTAATATAGTTTGAAAAGCGAGCGAGTGTTTCACGAATATTCTCCAAGTGAATTTCCATGTCTTGATTCTTATTGAACGAAACGTCTACGTTTCGAACCTTAGTTGATTTTTAAAGTTCTGAAACAAAGTTTTATCGCAGATTTGGACTCCGAACCTGGAGTATAACCCAGACGTGATTACTAGGGGCACTTCATTTTGGTGAGTGCTTCCAAATACCTGATTGAACTGGACACTTGTTTCCAATACTTGATCAATATGATTAAATGATATATGATTGGCTTGATCGGGCAAGAGTGTACTTTATCGCACTTGCCCTTATTTGATATATACTTGTTTATTGTTGAAATTGAATTGATATACTTGTTCATGTTGTGCGCACTTCCTGGAATTCCAGAAACCCTGCGACAAGTTACTCGAGTCGAGCCGGCAGGGGCTTGGTCGATTGGGTAACAAACCCTGGGTCTCTTGTTTTGTCGAGTGGAGTGATATCTCCTCGACTAATCGGTATACTCGAGTATTAGCACCCGTGTTTCTTGAGGATTTTGGGCCCAGTAGGGGGTTTGAATGGTGGACGGAGAGTAGTTAAGTGGTGCTCTACTGGATTGGTTTCTTTACTTGAAAGTTGACGGAGTGTCAACTACTACGTGATCGAGCTCCTGATGATGAATGGAAGTTGGCTCCTGAGAGCCATCCGTATCCTTATGCTTTGGAATGATTATTGCTTATTGGATTATTGTTTATTTTGAAAAACTTTTACACTCGCTCATTTTGAGATTGCTACTTGACGTGTTATTGCTCACTTTTATGGACTCTTCATGCTCGTTACTTTGCTATATCAAAATCTTGTACTTATAAATAATGGTCAATTTGCTATTTGGAACCTCACTAGACTTTTAGCTCATTCCACTCCATTTGTTTTCCTTACAGGGGTACGAGTGAGGCGTGAGATGTGTAAAGACTAGCGTAGCCTAGTTGTTTTTGACTTTTGACTTGTACTCGCGCTATCACTTGATTAGGATGATTTGTACCTGGATTGTATACACTTTGATGTAGTTTGGGTATATTGAGGTTTTGTATCTTGATTGTGCGTCAATGTAAATTATAAGATTGAATTGCGAAGTTATTTATTGTCGACGGTTGTATGCACGTGATACGAGTCAGTGAGTCCTGGCGAGAGCTGGGCAGGCGGTCCACTAAACCCTAGGGTATGCCCAGGGGGAGGTGGGACTGTCACAGATGGTATCAGAGCCACTTCGCGTGGTCTCTGCGCGGAGTGAGCTTGGGCCAAGTGGTGTTATGGTCCTAATTGTGTGAATAGGTGTAAGGGATTAAGGACTCTTTTGAGCATAATTTATGAGCGGGGCATGTTATAAGTGTAAAAATCTTTATCATGGAACTTGAGGAAGATGGATATATGTCAGGTAGGAATCTCTAATATGGATGATTTGCTCTTGGGACCGGCCGGCTCGAGTTGTGAATTATCTTATTGTGGATTCTTGTACTTGAGTACCGAATAGTGGAGAGCGCGATACAAGGGTCTGTATCTTGATTGAATTTGAGGTATGTCTGGATGGCAAAAGCCGAGGCACGGAAGATTCTACATTTGACCTAGTAATTAGACTGGTCGATAGGGGGTTTGATATGAAAGTGTTATCATGGACTACTCGTGAACTAGTCTGGCTCGGGCTTTTAGATGGTGGCTAGATTGTAAGGGAATTCGCACCTAAGACCTGTTCCCTTTTGCTATGACCGGAGAGCTTGATAAGTAATTACTTGACTTTGAGTTAGTCTAGCTACAACCATTGAGGTATTTTCTACCCCCTTGTGAGATTCGATAACCGTAGTTTGGCTCTCGATAAACTAACCTTGCCTATATTTTCTTGATATTTATCCCTTGACATCAAAGTATGGACCTGACTTGATTACTATTATGTTGAGATCGAGAATTTGGAATTAGGTATGAAAAATTTGACGCTTCAATACCTGTATGCTTCTAAGTTTAAATTTTTCGTGGTTGGATTGGGAGTGAGGGAACTTAACAGTTATATGGTTAAAGTCCCGAGTGTACTTGGTTACTTATCTTGATTCTCTAATTTGCCTGGCAGGCTATCACTTGAGTTCGAGCGAATCAGGAAGATGGCATATTTGGCTGATACGTATAAGGAGATAGAGATTCTTCGAAAGGAAGTAGAGTTCCAAAAGAGATTAACTGAGCACTGGGAAGGGCGATGGAAACAGGAGTATTCAGAGAAAAATGAGCTATTGCACAAGAACATGGAGCTGAAAAAGAAATACGAAGGGATTTTGGAAGAGGTACGAAGTAAGTTTGAGTTAGTACCTTCATCTAGTCAAATGGCCTCTCAGGACATTCCTAGTAATAAAGATGAAAGAGGTGAAGGAAGTGTTCGCGACCACAAAGGAAAACGTAAAGAGATGGATGGAAATGGAGTTGCTATGAGGGATAAGGGGAGGAAGAAGAAAAAGAACGGACACTTCAAGAAGAAATGTGTGGCTCCTAAGTGTGAAACGTGTAACAAAAGTCATACAGGAATATGTTATGTGAAAATTGGTGCATGCTTTAGATGCGGCCAACTGGGACACCAAGTGAGGAACTGCCCAGAACAAATGAATTTTGGGATGGTGAAGCTGTTGTAATAGTTAAAATCGGCAAGTAGTGATGTGTTAGCTGAAATAGTTGTATTTATGGACCTATGTGTATGCAACCTCTATGTAGTGGGTATGTTCCGATAAAAGTAGTGGACCTGGTACTTGATATTATGATGAGTAATATTAAATCTTGGTGACTTGACAGTATCTTTTGTTAACTCTTGGTCTCGATGTTAAGTGACATTTGCGTCTGTGGTTCGGAAAGGCGAAACTTTCGATATCTTCACTGATTTTCTTAGCCTGGCATTTTAGTCATAGCATTATTACAATTTCTCTCTAGATAGATTGTGGTATGAATTTCGAGGACGAAATTCTTTTAAGGGGGAGAGAGTGTGAGGACCCGTGAAATTCTTTATATTTTTCTTAAAAATTCCCTTTTTATTTGGAAATTATTATTTTATAATAGCCCTACTACCCAATCATTCCACAATAAGTGCAAATGAACATGAAAGTAAGGGTTTTCACTTTTCGTTTTCAAGTTGGAGCAAGTTAGGGTTTTCACGTGTATCCGTAGTGTAATTATCCGGTACGGAGCGAGGATCAAATTTGGTGCTTAAGAGTGACTTTTAGGTGAGAAATAATATGTGATTAGAAGCAATGATATAAAGTTAGTGAATAGGAAGTAAAAACCCTAGTACGTGTGATTTAAGGAAAAACGGTGCGAACCGACGTGTACCGTGCACTACCGATTGAACACACCACTTGATCACCACTTTCTTACCATATAAGCTCATTAATACTTGAGCCAAATATCCTCTTATTTCCAGCTGGCTTTGACCGAAAATTGTGGCCCAAAATGCAAGGAAAAGAAAGAGAAAATTTGGATGGTTTTGGTAGTGCCAAGTGTTGGCAATTTGTGGCTTTGACTAAACTTAATTTTCTTGCCTTCTTATCTTGTAAATTAGCTCATTCTTTCTCATTTTTCTGCTACCTTGGCCGAGAGAGAGAGAGAAAAAAATCCAAGGGAGAGCTGCCCAAATCCAACTTGAAATTGGATCATCCAAGTGAGGAAACAAAAAACTAAACCGATTAAAACCATTCTTGAGTGTTTAGCTTGTGAGGTGTTGGTGAAATTTTGGAAGGAAGAGCTAGGGTTGCTTTTGGTAGTCACTTTAGCAAGGTAATGATGCTGATTTCCCCATTTCTTACTCTTGATCTTGTTTAATTTGGCTTAGCACCTTAAATTTGTGGTGGATGATAGCTATTATCAAGATTTGGGTGGATAGTGTATGTTTTTTTTTAGTTATATGAGTTGGGGTTTGAAAGATTGCTGCCTATACTTGCTGTATGGTCAATATATGTTGTATCTAAGATTATATAAGGGGCTTTGGTAGTGATTGAGGCAAGAAATGAAGAAAGTTTCCATTGAAATCCCAAAATTCCAGATTTCTGGAAAATTATAACCCTGTTCTGGCCGGTTCAAGTTCGTGGTGTTAGAAGCTGAATTAGGCTTGACATAAAACATGAAAGTTGTATAGAATAATATTTTATAGTTTCCTACAAAATTACAACTCAATCGGAGCAACGTAGCCTGTGAAAAGACCAAAATACCCTCGCTGCCCTAGGATGTTTCCAGTGATCCGTTTTAGACAGTTCATCTAGTTGACCGCGTCTATTCACTATGATATGTGCTGATTTACCCATTTTCCAAAATATGAAAGTTTTAGTACTCTGTCTTAGCTTTTAAACGCCTTAAAGAACGCCTTAAACGGACTTTGGTAGCCTGAGATATGACCATTTAAATGTAGTACAGTTAATTAGCTGATTAGTTGGAACCTGGTTCTGTGAACTGGGAATTTGATTAGGTTACACTGGAAATTTGACCAAGTGATCTTCATGAAAGTTGTAGGCCTTCATCTAAGCTTCGAAATGGTATAAATTTCACACCAATCCGTTAAGCGTAACCTCGGATGTGTCCATTCCGCAAAACCCTATCAAATCTATCTTTTACTACAGCTCATTTCCGCACTTGTAATTAACTTGAATTTTTGTCCTTATATTTTCTTGAGCCTATTGGATGGCTATTGAAGTTAGATTTTTGTGTGTGTACCTATGGGTTTGAATGATAAAAATAATGAAGCCAAAATGGCTGGAAAATTAGGTAAACACAAAGGGCATGCTGCCCAAATTTACGCTCGAGGACTAGAGAAATACCCTTGCGACTTAGGTATAGTTGATAAGTGAATATCACTTGAACTATCTAGGACTTTTGCTACTTTGGTTATCGAGGGTTATACGTTAGAATCTAGCCGAATTTGTACCCTTGAGAAATACAACTATGACTACTAAAAATACGTTTTCTTTGTACTTTCGACTCAAATGGCATTTCCAAGTATAAATGTTACAAAGTAATATAGTTTGAAAAGCGAGCGAGTGTTTCACGAATATTCTCCAAGTGAATTTCCATGTCTTGATTCTTATTGAACGAAACGTCTACGTTTCGAACCTTAGTTGATTTTTAAAGTTCTGAAACAAAGTTTTATCGCAGATTTGGACTCCGAACCTGGAGTATAACCCAGACGTGATTACTAGGGGCACTTCATTTTGGTGAGTGCTTCCAAATACCTGATTGAACTGGACACTTGTTTCCAATACTTGATCAATATGATTAAATGATATATGATTGGCTTGATCGGGCAAGAGTGTACTTTATCGCACTTGCCCTTATTTGATATATACTTGTTTATTGTTGAAATTGAATTGATATACTTGTTCATGTTGTGCGCACTTCCTGGAATTCCAGAAACCCTGCGACAAGTTACTCGAGTCGAGCCGGCAGGGGCTTGGTCGATTGGGTAACAAACCCTGGGTCTCTTGTTTTGTCGAGTGGAGTGATATCTCCTCGACTAATCGGTATACTCGAGTATTAGCACCCGTGTTTCTTGAGGATTTTGGGCCCAGTAGGGGGTTTGAATGGTGGACGGAGAGTAGTTAAGTGGTGCTCTACTGGATTGGTTTCTTTACTTGAAAGTTGACGGAGTGTCAACTACTACGTGATCGAGCTCCTGATGATGAATGGAAGTTGGCTCCTGAGAGCCATCCGTATCCTTATGCTTTGGAATGATTATTGCTTATTGGATTATTGTTTATTTTGAAAAACTTTTACACTCGCTCATTTTGAGATTGCTACTTGACGTGTTATTGCTCACTTTTATGGACTCTTCATGCTCGTTACTTTGCTATATCAAAATCTTGTACTTATAAATAATGGTCAATTTGCTATTTGGAACCTCACTAGACTTTTAGCTCATTCCACTCCATTTGTTTTCCTTACAGGGGTACGAGTGAGGCGTGAGATGTGTAAAGACTAGCGTAGCCTAGTTGTTTTTGACTTTTGACTTGTACTCGCGCTATCACTTGATTCGGATGATTTGTACCTGGATTGTATACACTTTGATGTAGTTTGGGTATATTGAGGTTTTGTATCTTGATTGTGCGTCAATGTAAATTATAAGATTGAATTGCGAAGTTATTTATTGTCGACGGTTGTATGCACGTGATACGAGTCAGTGAGTCCTGGCGAGAGCTGGGCAGGCGGTCCACTAAACCCTAGGGTATGCCCAGGGGGAGGTGGGACTGTCACAGATGGTATCAGAGCCACTTCGCGTGGTCTCTGCGCGGAGTGAGCTTGGGCCAAGTGGTGTTATGGTCCTAATTGTGTGAATAGGTGTAAGGGATAAAGGACTCTTTTGAGCATAATTTATGAGCGGGGCATGTTATAAGTGTAAAAATCTTTATCATGGAACTTGAGGAAGATGGATATATGTCAGGTAGGAATCTCTAATATGGATGATTTGCTCTTGGGACCGGCCGGCTCGAGTTGTGAATTATCTTATTGTGGTTTTTGATTTGTTTGTTTTTTTCTTGTACTTGAGTACCGCATAGTGGAGAGGCCGCGATACAAGGGTCGTAATCTTGATTGAAGTTGAGTATGTCCTGGATTGCGCAAAAGCGCGAAGGCACGGAAGAATCTAATCATTTGACCTAGTAAATTAGACAGGTCGATAGTGGGTTTGGAAATATGAATAGTGTTATATTGGACTACCGTGGAACTAGTCTGGCTGCGGGCTTTTAGATGGTGGCTAGATTGTAAGGCGAATTCGGCACCTAAGACCTTTTCCCTTTTGCTATGACCGGATGAGCTTGATAAGTGAATTACTTGACTTTGAGTTAGTCTAGCTACAACCATTGGAGGTATTTCTCCCCTTGTGAGATTCCGATAACGCGAGTTTGGGCTCCGATAAACCTAACCTGCCTATATTTCTTGATATTTATCCCTTTGACATCAAAGTAATGACCTGACTTGAATTACTATTATGTGAGATGAGAATTTGGAATTAGGTATGAAAATTTGACGCTTCAATACGCCGTGTATGCTTCTTAAGTTTAAATTTTTCGTGGTTTGGATTGGGGAGTGAGGGAACTTAAACAGTTAATATGGTTAGAAGTCCCCGAAGTGTACTTGGTTACATTTATCTTTGATTCTCTATTGGCCTGCAGGCTATCACTTGAGTTCGAGCGAATCAGGAAATGGCATATTTGGGACTGATACGTATAAGGAGATAGAGATCCTTCGAAAGGAAGTAGAGTTCCAAAAGAGATTAACTGAGGCATCTCGGGGAAGGGCGATGGGGAAACAGGAGTATTCAGAGAAAAATGAGCTATTGCACAAGAACATGGAGCTGAAAAAGAAATACGAAGGGATTTTGGAAGAGGTACGAAGTAAGTTTGAGTTAGTACCTTCATCTAGTCAAATGGCCTCTCAGGACATTCCTAGTAATAAAGATGAAAGAGGTGAAGGAAGTGTTCGCGACCACAAAGGAAAACGTAAAGAGATGGATGGAAATGGAGTTGCTATGAGGGATAAGGGGAGGAAGAAGAAAAAGAACGGACACTTCAAGAAGAAATGTGTGGCTCCTAAGTGTGAAACGTGTAACAAAAGTCATACAGGAATATGTTATGTGAAAATTGGTGCATGCTTTAGATGCGGCCAACTGGGACACCAAGTGAGGAACTGCCCAGAACAAATGAATTTTGGGATGGTGAAGCTGTTGTAATAGTTAAAATCGGCAAGTAGTGATGTGTTAGCTGAAATAGTTGTATTTATGGACCTATGTGTATGCAACCTCTATGTAGTGGGTATGTTCCGATAAAAGTAGTGGACCTGGTACTTGATATTATGATGAGTAATATTAAATCTTGGTGACTTGACAGTATCTTTTGTTAACTCTTGGTCTCGATGTTAAGTGACATTTGCGTCTGTGGTTCGGAAAGGCGAAACTTTCGATATCTTCACTGATTTTCTTAGCCTGGCATTTTAGTCATAGCATTATTACAATTTCTCTCTAGATAGATTGTGGTATGAATTTCGAGGACGAAATTCTTTTAAGGGGGAGAGAGTGTGAGGACCCGTGAAATTCTTTATATTTTTCTTAAAAATTCCCTTTTTATTTGGAAATTATTATTTTATAATAGCCCTACTACCCAATCATTCCACAATAAGTGCAAATGAACATGAAAGTAAGGGTTTTCACTTTTCGTTTTCAAGTTGGAGCAAGTTAGGGTTTTCACGTGTATCCGTAGTGTAATTATCCGGTACGGAGCGAGGATCAAATTTGGTGCTTAAGAGTGACTTTTAGGTGAGAAATAATATGTGATTAGAAGCAATGATATAAAGTTAGTGAATAGGAAGTAAAAACCCTAGTACGTGTGATTTAAGGAAAAACGGTGCGAACCGACGTGTACCGTGCACTACCGATTGAACACACCACTTGATCACCACTTTCTTACCATATAAGCTCATTAATACTTGAGCCAAATATCCTCTTATTTCCAGCTGGCTTTGACCGAAAATTGTGGCCCAAAATGCAAGGAAAAGAAAGAGAAAATTTGGATGGTTTTGGTAGTGCCAAGTGTTGGCAATTTGTGGCTTTGACTAAACTTAATTTTCTTCCCTTCTTATCTTGTAAATTAGCTCATTCTTTCTCATTTTTCTGCTACCTTGGCCGAGAGAGAGAGAGAAAAAAATCCAAGGGAGAGCTGCCCAAATCCAACTTGAAATTGGATCATCCAAGTGAGGAAACAAAAAACTAAACCGATTAAAACCATTCTTGAGTGTTTAGCTAGTGAGGTGTTGGTGAAATTTTGGAAGGAAGAGCTAGGGTTGCTTTTGGTAGTCACTTTAGCAAGGTAATGATGCTGATTTCCCCATTTCTTACTCTTGATCTTGTTTAATTTGGCTTAGCACCTTAAATTTGTGGTGGATGATAGCTATTATCAAGATTTGGGTGGATAGTGTATGTTTTTTTTTAGTTATATGAGTTGGGGTTTGAAAGATTGCTGCCTATACTTGCTGTATGGTCAATATATGTTGTATCTAAGATTATATAAGGGGCTTTGGTAGTGATTGAGGCAAGAAATGAAGAAAGTTTCCATTGAAATCCCAAAATTCCAGATTTCTGGAAAATTATAACCCTGTTCTGTCCGGTTCAAGTTCGTGGTGTTAGAAGCTGAATTAGGCTTGACATAAAACATGAAAGTTGTATAGAATAATATTTTATAGTTTCCTACAAAATTACAACTCAATCGGAGCAACGTAGCCTGTGAAAAGACCAAAATACCCTCACTGCCCTAGGATGTTTCCAGTGATCCGTTTTAGACAGTTCATCTAGTTGACCGCGTCTATTCACTATGATATGTGCTGATTTACCCATTTTCCAAAACATGAAAGTTTTA